CCTGTGGAAGGAGTATTTTAGAAGTCATTTGGGTGTTTGAGAATGCCTGGCTCAGCAGAGGGATGAGCAGTAAATGGAGCAGAGCAGCAGCAGCAGATCCAGGTGCTGGGATAGGGGCACCCTGGAGGCATTGGCAGAGCAGGGATCACTGCTCTTTATTCCCATAAAGGATGGGAATGCATGATCTCGTAAATATTTTAACTGGTGTTCATCTGTCTCCCAGCACACACGTGGAGTGAGCCTTTGCAGACTCTGCTATTCCCAGGTTGGGAGCATCCCCTTTTCCAGCACAAATGCTCATTGCTAAGGAACTTTTCCCACAGAAATGAGCAGCAGAAACCAGGAGGGCAGCACCCAAAGTGACCGTGCAGGCCTGCCCCTCTGCCCTTCACAGCCACCACCTGGACAGGGAAACCCCCGGGGGTGTCAGACCCCCAAAATGAGCAGCCTCAGGGAGGCAGCTTGGATTGATGGCACCCTCCTGAAATAAACCCAGGAGAGGACACGGGGAGGAAGGTCACCAAAGGCTGAGCTGTGGGAACATCTCAGCACTGAGACCTCCAAGACATGAATGCTTTTCTGGGCATTGGGAGCTGTTTGAAAGCAGAACAGGATGAAAGCTGCAACTCACAGGGTTTCAGAGCAGCTCCCAAAAACATGGTGCAAGACAGAAAACACAGGGGTCCCATCCTGTGCTCACACACACAGAGACCTCCCCTGCCCTGTGACGTGCATCCCAAATTCCCATTTGGAAGCATCCCAAATTTCCATGCTACACCTTTGTAACATGGAAAAAGGGGCTACCAACAAACAGCCTTTCCACCTGGGAAAACACCCCACTTGGCCAGCTCAGAGGCAATATTCAAGCCTGCAATTTGATGATGAGAGCACTCAGAAAAAAACCCTGCCAAGAGGATAAATCAGTGGCAAAGCAAACTAGAAGTCACTAAAGAGTTACAGATCTGGGTAGGTCAAGGGGGAGACTGTGCTGACTCTTCAAAAAGCACCTAGGTATGGCATGAGCTGCTGGAAACCCACAAAGGGTCTGACAGCAAATGGGCAGGGTACAGGAAAACTTGGGGCTTCCTTGGGAGCTTAGAAATAGCCAAGGGGCAGCTGAGAGCAAAACTCACTGCAGGTTATTGCAGCAGGAGCAGCCAGGCAGGGGAGCTGTTTTACACACACAAACTTCCAGAGCCATCTTTATATATTTTTATTGCACACATCTATCCTTACATATCTCATGGGATGAGGCCAACTTCCCTTCCCAGGACAAACTATTTCTACTTAATTCTGCCAAATCCATCTGTTCCCAAGACAACTTTTGTTGCTGCCTAACACAGATATTTTGGAAGAGTAAATCTTCCCCTCAAACTCCCAACCCCTTCCCAAAGTTGCTGGATTGTTCAGAATGTTCTCTGTGTGCTTCAGCTACTAAAACAGGTATTTTCCTCCCAGCAAAGCTTGTGAGAAGCCCAGGGGCACAGGTGAGCTACACCAAACCACCTTTGCAAAGCCCCTGAAATGCCTACACCTCCTCTCCCCAAGCATTTAATGAAGCCCACACCTGGCACAGGAGCCTGTCCAGCATCCATATTTTAATTTCAGGCTCCCTGGAAACAACCTCTTTGGTTCCAAGTGGCATCTAGACTGAGCACACCCAAAGGTGAGCTAATTAGTGGGTGGCTGGCTGGACATCAGCAAAGCACCAGCCACGCCGGGCTCCTTTTCCTCTGGGTGCCTGGTTGGTGCAGGATGGCTGATCCCAGCAGGCTGAGAGCACATGTCTGCATCACACAGCCTGCAAGACATTTGCACTGACTCATAATTTGGGGGGAAATACTATAATTCATCTGCAGACATGCTTTGCTGTTGGAGTGGCATAAATATATGTGTGTGTGTGTACAGAGCTCTATTTTTAGAGCTGCACGGCCAGGGTGCCGGCTCCATGGGTACTCCATTGACAAACAGGATGCACTCTTCTCTGAGCTGGGAGGTTTTCAGTCCTCCCCCTTATTGTAAACATCATCTGCCTTCAAAACCCTTAATGTGTTGCAGATGTGACAAACAATAAAAGACCTATCATGAAAAAAAGCCTGCCATCCCTGTGTTTCCCACTGGGGCAACATAATAATGAATTTATTAGCATATAGGGCTCACCAACATATGTTTATAGTCGCTCACAAACTTTTGACTTGACAGTTTACAAGTATGTTTAAATCATTAAAGTTTAGGTTGACTGTCCAGTTACTACAGGCTCATTATAAATAGGAAACAAAGGTTACATTTTATACAACAGGCGATAAATCAAAACTAGTCTGTATTTTAGACTGACTTTCCCCCCCCCCCCTTTTGCTCTTTTTTTATTTCCTTATTTTCAAGACCTTCTGAGGGGACATCTTGGTGAGGCCAGTGCTCAGCAGATGTTTGCAGTTAGCTGGCAGGACCAGTGGCACCCACACCGGGGAGCAGGAGAAAATCCCACTGCCTCAGAGAGATGCAAAGACCCCAGAGGTGGCAAAATCTGGCAATGTTTTCACTCAACCAACAGCCAAAATCGGTGCCAGCCCAAGACACCCACCTCTCCTCCTCCTCCAGGCATCACCAAGTCCATCTGCAAGGCTTGGGAAACCCTCTGGAAGGGAGGAGTTCTCCCCTGCCAATTTGCTCAAGCTGAACAAAGCACCTGAGAAAAGCAGGGAAAAGCCCCAAACTGTGTCCCCTGCCTGCCGAGCTCGAGGGTCAGCAGCAGGACTCAGAGATGCTCAAGTGGGGGTTTGGCTTTGACCACTGCACTGCAACACAGCCTGCCATCCACGCTCCTGCCTCAACACTGCAGAGCATCCAGCAGGGGATGGAAGCAGGGTAACACAACCCCAGCCACTCCCAGTCCCTTCTGCCTCTATTACAGGGTAACCACCTTGGGAAGGAGGGAGATGAACCCACATTAAATGTAAAAGTTCATTTTGTAAACTATTTCCAGATTTCAAAGCCTGGCATCATTTCACATCAGCATGCTACCCTAAAATTTAGAATTTTGGGGTTGTGGGGGGGGGGGGAATGTGGAATGGTTTCTGGTCCCTTTTATTTCTTGCTATGTACATGTGATATGATGGAAAAAATTAATTTAAAAATACACTTTCAAAGTAAAAAGAAATATCATTCTCAAAAATGTTGAAAATGAGTATTTCCACACCATCAGCAACTTTTCCTGGGCTGGTTTCCAACATAAAACTTGAACAGAGTCACAGTTTATATCCAATACCAACCAAACAGGATTCTGTCATTGTCATATCAGCTTCACCTCTCTGCTCTAAAGCAAAACACAAAAAAAGAGCATATGGCATGGGCAAGCAAGGAAGAAAGTCTCCCTGACAGCACAGCTCATGCTCTCTGAGCTCAGTCAGTGCCTTAAATCCCTCTTGGACAAACTCCACACTCTCAGCAACCTGAAAGATTTTACCTGCCAGGAACCCCATGCCCCAGAGACACAACTGCTTTGAAGTTAATATTTACCCATCCCATAGCAAAGGCAGCAGCAAACAGGACAAGTCCTCCTGTCCTGCTGCATGTTCCTGTAGCACAGTGACAAGAGGGGTGAGTTACCAGGGAGTTCAATACTGTGATTAAACTAGCCCAGAGAGGCAGGGAAAGGCAGAAAGGATCATATATCCGACTCCAGAGATCACTGATGATAGTGTGGGGAAGGCTTTAAGAGGAAATTAGAAACACATTAAAAATAACATCAAGGTGTGACACAAAGATATGGAAAATGAAACACGTATCTCTTCTCTCAGCACAGGACACTGTGAATCACCTGCATTTCTTTAACATAAACTTTGTTATTTAGTTCTTGGATGAAATTAAATGTGTTTTATCCCTCTCAAAATTCTATGCTTCTCTTTCAGACTTGGAGTGGAGGACTTGAGAAGTCTTTTCTTTCCCTTACTTAATATCTGAATATATGTATTTTATGCATTTTACATAATGTGTCAATAATCTTTGATATGAGACTGGCATTTAATATTTCAACTCTCACTTCATTAAGGATATTTTAATTATCCCAGACCAATGGGAGGGAATTTATAAACATCTGTGCTTCGTTTAGGAGCCCAAATTTGCCTTTTAAACTTCAAAGCTGCAAAGCTGATTTTATCCAGGTTCAGTTGTCTGGTCTCTCAAAGAGCACCGTGCAGCACTGGAACCAGCATCAACTGGGCCAAGCCTCCAGCCCACAGAGCAACATCCAGCACTGCTCATCCCTGCTGGACACAGCCTCCAGCAGCCTGGGCTTCAAACCAGGCGATGCTGCTGAGCTCCACAGAGTGGTCAGTGGGCCTAGGAGAAGACCCACACCAGCAGCATTTGTGACTGCCCAAGTCACAGCTGGTGCTTTGCTTTCTCCTCCCAATGGGTGACCAAGGGCTGCCTCATTAATAACACCAGGAGTCCCTCAGGGCTGTTTTCAGAGTAACCAAGGACATGACTCGCACGTCACTGGCAAGCAAAGCAATTTTTAGGCTTCCAAGTACCTAAATCCTTTCTGCAAAATGAGTCTGAGGTATTTGCAAAAAATCTTTGGGGGTTTCTAAACCCTACATCACAAACAGCCATCCTTTGCTGCAGTCAAACAAGCCTTCCTGACTTTCTGGTGGCCTCCAGGAAGATGAGAAGCTCATCTTGAATCTCAGAATTGCAGGCAGCAGTGGCAAGGAGAGGGTGACCCTGGGACCTACATCAGATTTTCAACTTGCCTCACATCCTCTCCAGTGGGCTGCCCTCAGTACACGCCTAGAGAACCAGCCTGGAAAAGCAGAGGCATTTCTTCTCCAGCTGCTGCCTCGACCGGCACCACGGCCAGCCAGCACAGCTCTGGGTGTCTGCAGCTCTGGGCTGTGGCACTGGGGTGCCTGAGCAGAGCCCAGGCAGCAGCTCCCACACCACCACCAAAGCCTGGACCCCACAGAGGGGCAGCCGTGGCAGTGCCACATCCCCATCACCTGCTAAGAAGCGGAGCTGGTTCCTCACTCGCAGCTCTCCATCCCCAGAGCCTCTGCCGCACTCATCTTCATCGTCGCAGTCCCCACTCTCCTCCTCCTCCTCTGCAGCTTTTCCCGGAGCTTTTCGGCGGGACAAAGTCATCCCTCTGAGCAGCTGAAAGACAAGAGGGGCACAGTCACTCACTGCTTCCCTCCTGCTGCTTCATCCTCACTCGCTGGGGGAGCGGGTGACAATGGGGGGACAAGATTCAGCGGAGCCAGGACAGTGGGACAAGACCCCAACACTCCTTGTGCCAAAGCACTGAGAGCTTGGGCTCATTCATGGACAAAGCTGCACAAAAAACTTCAGTGCAAGAAACAAAAGGAGGAGGCAAAACCACATTGAGTCATTCTGGGCTTCTGCCCAACCAGAATCACATGAGCCCTGCAAGACCCCAGTGTCACCAAAGCTCTGGGGTCAGCTACAAAACACATGTCCAAAGGTAGGCCAGGCAGGGGAAAAAACAGTACAAAGAGGAGCCTGTGTTCAGGGAATCTCACTGCTTCCAGGGACTCTCCCATTTTAGATTTAACACATGAAAGGAAATGGCAGATCTCTCAGGTCGGTATGGATCCCACAAATATAAAAAAAAAAAAAAATCTCATTTCTCACTCTCGAAGCACAGAGGATGCTAGTGAAAGCTTTTGGGGTAGCCAAGTGACACAATGAAAGCATCTTTTAAAGGATGTTTTAAAGCTGGGTCCTAAGTAACAGTGAGAGTTTGCAGATCCCTGAGACAGGACTTGAATGCCTCCCCTGAGCACGGGGTCAGGATCACTTTCCAACCATGGGTGGGAGCTCCCCACACTCCCATCACAGCACACAGAGGGATTGGACACATTATAAACTATCAGCTTCCTCTCTTCGCTGACTTTCCTGATTTTGCTGTTGCTGAAAGCAGCCAGCCACTCCATCATAAACCCAGATCCCCTTTGAAAAAGTGTGAGTCAGCTAGTTAATATATGCTGAAAATTTCTATCACTGCCACTCTGCTGTTAAAAGCTTCTTGAATTTAATCTCAGCGCTAAGAAAAAAAAAAACCGAAGGATAAAGTAACAGAGAAGATATTGCAAAATGGGAGCTTTCCACATGCTTCAGGGCTTTGGTTAGTTCCATCTCTTGCAGCAATATGCATGCCTTGCAAGGCATTTTTTAATATCTGGAATCTAGGTTATATTTTTAAACTATTATGCTAGCCTTAGAAAACAGTTTCTAAAATATTTATCTCCTGAAGTTTATACAGCCTTGGAGGAATGCCTTTGGCAGCTGGCTCGCCCTGTCCACAGCAATGTCCACATACCTCAGTGTTTATATTAGAGGAGCATAACGTAATGAAAAACAAATGGCTCCATGTGAGACCCCTTTGGGTTCTCCAGCTGCAGCAGAGCTCTCCCTGGCATGTGCCAAAGTCTGCCTGGTGTGAGAACCATGCTGGCTGAGTCCCACACACATGGCAGGCAGCAAAATGCAGCTTATCTCCTCAAAACTCAGGGGATGTGCTTTCATGGCCTCCAATAATAGGCTTTGGCTCAGGCTGGTTAATTTCACTTTTCAGGAATTTTACTTTGTTTAGACGTTTACAAGTTCTTCCAGAATATGGTGCAACCACCAAAAAATAACAAACAAAAAGGCAAGTGCAGTGCTGGGGGTTAGCACAGGGAAGATCCCACCCAGGCACCAAACATGCCAGCCAGCCAAGCCTTTACACCATCACTTGCACTTTGCTCCTCCAAACAAAGCCCCCAGCTAACAGCAGTCCTCAGCTGGGGTGGAATGAGGGTCTGCCATGCACAGCAGCTGATTAGCACCCACACCAGTTCAAACCCAGTGCACCACTGCCAAAACCACAGCCCATCCTGCTGGAAGGGGCCACGACTGTTCAGCAGCAGGATCCTCATTCCTCTGTGGGATCCTCATTCCCCTGTGGGATCTTCACTCCCTCTGTGAGATCCTCACTCCTCTGCATCCCAGGAACAGAACAAGCCAGACAGGACCCCACCGTGCAACCCAGGCAGCACAACTTTCATGACTTACCGAAAAGAGCAGAGGAACTTTCTGGCAGAGAGAATTAAGCTTTGGGATATTTTCAGATTTAATAAGCTCAGTGGGGGGGGGCAAGGGAAAAATCAGGATTTTTCAATTGTGTGTTTTCAAACATGAAAATAACTGAGCATTTCTTGTAGTACTACTTCTTTCCTTGGCATGCCATAAATTAGCAGCTTAATTTCTATGCCTTTGTAGCCACAATAAAACAGGAACTTTCTGAGAAACATCACATGGGCCCCAACTTGGGATCAAGTAAACGTGACATCCCTTTGCCACACTGCTCCTTCCTTTGCCAGGAGAAAAGCTCCATCCTCAGGCACGCCTTCCCCAGCTGCTGATAACTACAGAGAAGATCAATTAAACTTTGCTGCTGCCTGTGGGAGAAATAGAGCCCTTGACACAAAACCTACTGGAAGAGTTAGCAGGAGACCAGGCATGGGGTGGAAATCCCACTCCACTCCAATGGTACATCCAGACACAGGAATGCTGTTGGATGTCTCATCTTCATCCAGAGCAGCAGCCCTAGTCCCATTCATCAACCACTCCACAACCTCCCTGATGGTTTGCATGCTTTATGAAATTATATTTGCTGTACTGAACATAGATTCCCCATCCTTAAATAGCAAGCAGAGCTGACTGTACCCTAACATCACAGTTTATTCATGTCCTGTGGTTTAAAGCCCATGGTAAGAGGCAGGAAAATACACAGCCTGGTGATCACTAAAGTAGTATGTAACAGTGAGATAGCTTTAACTCAATCACCACTCACCCAGCTGTAAGAGTTTACTGCCATATCTACTCTTCTCTGTTAAACCATAATGGCAAAAATACACTGTAATGTAGCTGATGTAAGGGGGAGCACTTTTTGTGGGAGTCCAGGCACACACATCCACACACCTCTGAGGGGGCTGCAGGGCTTTCCTCCCCCATCCACACGACCACCATGGCCATAAACTCCCTCTGCTCCTCACTACGAGTTCCAATGGATCAGGTGTCCACCAGTTTTATTTCCAACCTCATCCCTTTCCAACCAGACCCTCTGGATGGGTAGGGTGGGCAGTGCCAGGGTGTGGGCAGGAGGGACTCCAAGGGACACCAGGCACTCACATCTGCTTTCCCTGTACATCTTTGCTGTTTGGCTTGTCTTCTGGTCTCCCAATAGCTTCAAACACAAGGCAGATGGGAACGGTGTGCCGAGCCTTCCTGCTAAGAAAGCTCCCCAGGGCATCCCAGTATGATTTACACAGTTGTTCATAACTGTACAGTGACCAGACAAAAACAGATGCAGCGGCGCGGGGTAATGACTCAGCTTGTCTTGGACAGGCCACTGTATGCTGAAATCTTTTTAACTCCTCATTCTTTACAACCACTTTACTCAGAGCTCCCCATCCCACCAGCCCACTGAGCCCACCTGGTCCTATTTTTCTAATTTTAACATAAACAGTCGGAGCTGCAACATACTTTTTTATCATTAATCTCCCATCTCTGGAAAGAGCTCAGCATCATGTTTCTTGGACTGCAGTTTAATAGCTGTTTTCTCCTTTTGGAAATAAGCCCACAGTATTGCAAATATCAATTTGAGCAATACCCAAAATTGTGCCCACAAATTCAGATTAAATACTGTCAGCAAGCTACAAGCACTGTGCTCCTTTAGGGCAGAAATCATCCCTTTCAACACACTTCAAAAATATGTAAAGTAAAGAGAACAGCCAAAGAGATTATTAAGAGGAATAGAAGACTTTTAGAAAAACATTTAATTCCTTCATGAGTTTAGGGGAGAAGTCTGATTGATATTTGTAATCTTTTGGTGGACAGAGCTGTCATTTAATTTAGCTTGCATGACTGAAAGAATTTAACAAAAAGTGTTCCAGAGTTTCACTGAAATTCTTTGCATGTTTTTAGTAAGCCTCTGGAATATGATCAAACCTAAAAAGCTGGAGAGGATGGAGACTAAACTTACAGCTAAAATAATATTCAGAATTGTAATATATGCTTAATAATCAAGTATTCACATCCAGCAGAAAAAGTGCCTCAGTGCAGAAATTACTCTGGAGCCCCAGCCATGTGTCTGTGTGCTGCTTGGCGTCAGGAGGGGAACCCTGGGAACTCATCCTAGCAGTGAAAATCAGCTCCTGGCTCTGCTAGAAACCTCCCAAAATTCAGTGAATTTCACCAGCTCACGACTGCTTGCAAAGCTCAGGATGCCTTCCTTCAGGAGCCTCGTAAGGAGGAGTTTTGGAGGAGCAAAGGTGTTATTTTCCCTTTCATCACTCCAGCCACACACTTTCAAGTACCTGACACAGGTACCAAGGTACTTCTCACAACTCCTGAGATTCCCAACTGATCAGCTTTTTCTATTTTAAATTCCAGCCTGCTAAAAACATTGGGTTTTGGGGGTGAAAAACTAGATCTTATATGTGGCCAATCCTGACCTTGAAATCTGCAATACCAAGTAATTTATGTGTGGCTTTTGAATCAAGGCAGCATCATGGGAAACGTGCAGATTTTCACACGATACTGTTCCCTGTTAACAGCTCATTACAATGTACAGAAGTATATTCCCATTATGAAATACAGCTGGGGTTGTTTTGCTTACGAAGGTCATTATCTGATCACAGGCAAGAATCAGGGAAAGGAACCCATTTTATAAGGCTCAAGTTGTGGACTTTTTCAAAACTCATGTGTTTTGAATTTGGTGGCCTGATCATGCACAAGCATGCAACAGCAGAATCTATTCTCTCCACTTCCTCTGCTTATTACCCCTGGAAATAGCATGGAAAAAATTTTCTTTTATTAGCAAATACTTTATTATTTAACCAACCCTCATGAGATTACTGGTGCCCTCCACAGCACATTTCTATTTCCCAGCTCGCTTATGTTTATCCACTCTGTGGAGAGGCGCCTTGGTGGCACAGGAGTGTGCACCAGCAAAAACTCAGTGTCAACATCAACAGCATCATTCTTCTTCTTTCCAAGCTCCAGAGAGCCTTCCCCCTCCTGGGCAGCAGCAAATGCAACATATATTACAGAAAAACTCTATGTTCCCTGGCACCAAGCACGAAACTCTG